TGTACATACTACCACACTTGATTTACAATAACTTCTTTTTAACCCAAATAATTTTCTTTCTTTCTTTCTTTGTATGTATTTACTTGGGTGAAAAGCCTGAAAAATAACCCACTACATCTGTTTTCCTATAATGGTACTGGTGCAAATAGTGTCAATATGCTAGCATATACCTTGTCATTGATCATTAATAGCTCTTTATTTCCTTTAGCATGATGTGTTTCAGTATATGGCAACTGTTTTTTTTTCCAATCTTAGAGTTTTGGACAAAGTTTATAATTATCTTTTTATACTGTTCACAGAAATATTTGAAATATATAGACAAACATGCTAGCATAAGTTAGATCTAGATGATAAATTTGCAGATTAACTTTTGAAAAATGCATTTTCAGATAAATTCACAATGAAAACTATTTCTTTTAAAATTGTATGATTTAGGGGCTGGGGATATGGCTTAACAGTAAATTTCTTGCCTTGCAAGTACAAAGCCCTGGATTAAATCCCCAGCAAAGCTCCCCCCAAGTAAAATAAAATTATATGACTTTATATAAGTTGTTTTATTTTTTATCTTATTTTATTTTATTTTGAGGGAAAAATACCATAATTTGTTTATTCTTTTTTTTAAAAAATGGAAATATACTTTTTAAAGTTTCTAGTACTAGGAGAAGATATCATACAATGTCTTTTAAATAAATTGTAAGTCAAAAATACAGTATAAATCTTAGAACAAAAATTAAGATTAAGCAATATTCAGAAAATTAAATGTTGCAAAACAATTGAACTAAGAAAGTTTTCATGATAGCAAAGAAGTACTAAGAGTAAAACATAAGATAAATACTGGAATGGCAAGAAAATGACCAGCACTTCTAACAGTGTGAGGATAGGCTATTGCGCAAGGTTCTAGTGTGTTGTGGACATGCATAATGACCGTGACAGTTACTGGTGGCTAGGCGTCACTTGTGGAACTGATACAAGTTGTTTTAAAGTTATAGTTACTGACTTTTTATAAGAAAGTACAACAAAAACACCAACCATGATTTTCAAGGTCCACACTTGAAGCTACAGACTATTTCACTCTGAATCTTTTATTTAGTATTTGAAATTATGTGCCGCTGTGTACATTCTTTAGCCTATTGTCCATTAAAAAATGTTTTGCGCATCAAAACTACTTTGTGATTAATTTCTAGACCATTCTTGGTATAAGTTTACCATTCAATACTTTATGTTATTGCACTATCAAATAACATGAAATTTAATTACTTGTCAAGTACATAGAACAGAGAAAAGGATTGCAACAATTGGACAGTTTGGCACAACACTGCGATTTGCCTATACCAAATTATACAAGAAATATGAAGCACTTCCATTATCCTCAGATCCTCCAGTCTCTGTTACAGTAAACTAGAAACCTGGCCCAGGAATCTCAGTTCTGCAGACTTTTTGATCAAACAGTACCATGTTTGAGCTCAGAGTCTAAGGGCACTTTTGCCATATTTGCTTGGATTTTCCGAAAGGCCTCAGTTCCTAATTCCACACTGCTATTGTGTGGATCAAATAATCCCTGGTCACAAAAATACTCCGGGGAGTGACTCCCCTGGCGTCCAGGTTATGAGTGTGGTCAGTCATTCCACATGCCTTACAGATGAGCTATCTTTGCTAGGATAGGAGATTTCCTTTTCAAGTTTTGATATCTCGCACTACAAATTGACCACCATAAATAAAGGCACCATAGCAAAGAAAATACATATGGAAACCCTAGCGCAGCACTGAAGTCAAGTGCCTTTCCTCCTCTCTTTCAAAAAAAATTACTGATTAAAAATGATGAATTGTACAATATGTTGTTAGAATTGCAAATATCTCCTATAGTGACTTCTTCAGTGTGAACCACAATCAGATATTTAAACTTTTGCCACGTACACACTCGATATGCCAGTTTCATGCTTTTGTGTGGTTCACTGTTCTATGAAACAACTGAGAGAAAAAATTAAAAATCTGTAAGCTTTTTTCTAATCTCTCATATGCTTTGGATGGTGAGATGATAGGTTTTAGGCAATGCAAGTCATTTTATGAAAGTGGCTTTCAGAGGTGTGTAGGGTGCAGAGGTGGACGCGGCCCTGGTTCCATAGAAACCAGGACCCAGACACCACCCAGATTCCCTGCGCTCTCTGAGATCGTCCTTGGCGACCTGCAGACCAAAGGGACCCGCTGGGCTGGGAAGTACGGATTGCTGCGGCTCCAGCGCGAGCAGAGGCTCCTCACGGAGTCAGCCGGCCCGCCCGCCTCTTTCTTTCCATGCTTTGCTCCTAGAGTTTACAAGCATGGGTCAGACAAACAGACGCGTTGTTTCCAGCCACTCTGGAAGGTAACCAGACGGGCAGGGAAAACAACTCGCAAAAGCGTCCAGAGACTGCAGCCAGACCGCGAATCTGGAGTAACGGGAACTTCACTGAGAGGCTGTAAGAGCCGCACGACGCAGGTTGCAGTCGCGGCTGAGCAGGGCTGCAACGCCGCATCCTCGCCGCCTTCCTGCGTGCGTGGGGAAGCTGGGAGCACGAGGCGGAGAAGGCAGCCGCCTCTGCTCCCCGCCCCGCTGCAAAGCCCCGCAGCTTTGGGAGGCGGAGGAGCTAAGGCAGGGCCCCGAGCCAGGATTACTGGGAAGGGGCAGGGGGCCCAGCCACTCCACTGGACAGCTGTCCAGCCCCTGTAATTCATTGGCTTCCCCCACAGTGCCTTCCAAATACCACCCCAATCCAGTTTAGCCCCACCGCTCCACCCTCTCTGACCTAATAAGGCCATGCAGTGTTTGGGAAACCTATTTAAAAGGCGTGGGCTGGAGGGGACACTGCAGGACTCCAGGGAGAGAAAGCAGGAGCCGTCCAGCGCTGGAATAGAGCACCATGGCCAAGGAGTGGGGCTATGCCAGCCACAACGGTGAGTGTAACAGGCAGCTGTGGCCCTAGTCCAGGGCACTGCACAGAAAGGAGGTGGCTTTGGAAGTCGCTGAAAATGTGGGTGCAGAGTGGGGTAAGTCCTAACATCAGCTGTATACTTTTCAGGTCTCAATGCCCTGGTCCTTTTGTTTTAATACCATTTCTTTCGGCCTCCTAGAGAGTTACTATGATGTTTCCTTTGAAGGATCACACTGTGACTGAGAAGTCAGGCAACCTGAGGGCCAGGCTGATAGTTCTTTACTCCGGGATGCTAGGCTCTCTGAGTCTGGTGTTAGTGTCAGACACCATGTTTTTCCTGTTACTCTGCCTAAGCTATGTGCAAAGGAATACCCGTGTGCTCTGAAAGCCATGAAGTGATGCATATGTGGTCACTGAAGGAAGGGCCACTTCAAAAATAAGGCTTTGAAGCCATATTCCTGAGCAGCAGGGAAATACATGTTACATCGCCAACAAAGCTACGAAGAGGTCTGAAATGTTAAGTCTTACGCTGCCCAATCTGAATCTGAGATCTGTACTTAAGTCACTGTGTAATTTGCTGGTTGTCCATTAGGGCCTTGGGTTATAAAACCAAATAAATAAATTCCCTCAATTTTATTTTTTAGGTCCTGACCACTGGCATGAACTTTATCCAATTGCCAAGGGAGACAATCAGTCGCCCATTGAGCTGCATACGAAAGACATCAAGCACGACCCCTCTCTGCAGCCATGGTCAGCGTCTTATGACCCTGGCTCTGCCAAAACCATCCTGAACAATGGGAAGACCTGCAGAGTTGTGTTTGATGACACTTATGACAGATCAAGTAAGTGTAATATGCAGGGAGGGATGCATAGATACTTTCCATGTCTGGCTAGGCAATGTATGCTTCCAGGCACGGTAACAGAATAAGTGGGAAGAGGGAGCATTTGAGCCCTGAAAATAGAGACAACATTCTTCTTTGCTTTGGATGTAAAGAAACATAATCTGTGTATTGATGAGGAATGTCTCACCCTCTAGCTTTGGTCTCTTGGTTACCACAAAATGGTCTGATGGCCAGACCAAAAATTGGCAACACATCCCTGAATGGAGCTCGGTGGGATGGGGCTGGCAATGAACCCAAGTTCTGATGGCCAGTAGCTGAGGCTCTCTGAGCTCCTCGACCACATCCTGGAGAGCAAAGCTCCCGGTCTCAAGTAGGGCACAGGTTGCATTCTAAAAAGCAAGAAATAAAACAAAAATACACAATAGGCACTGTCTTCTCTTTGGAGCTGGAAGGAGGCCAATCCAGGGGATAGAATAGGACCATTGAATGGGTGCAGATGACTTGACTTGCTTCCCGGGGTTCATCTGACTCATTCTTTTGGTGAGTGTTTTTGAAGTATCTGCCCTTTCTTCAGCAATATTCACATGGATGAGACAGGAAAAATCAAGTTGTTTTTAAAAAACTAATCGACACTAGTAAATGAATTGGTAAAAAATTGATGAGGCTGACTAGAAATGGTTTGTTTCATGGTAAATCATGAAAGGTAAGAAAAAATCATCTTGAGGACTTGATGTTTCTTGCAATGTTCCTTCCTATTATACCATCCTGATGGCATTAAAATCATCTTTATTAATATACATAAGTGAATAGTCTTAACTCTGCTATAGTAAAGAATGAGAGCCACAACTCCTCCTTACTGGAAGATTCTATGTAAGGGATATGATGCAATGTTACATTTTCTTAACAATGGTTTTATAAAGCAATCTCTCCTTCCAGTTGTTTACATCAATCTCCATCTTAGAGGAGAAAAAGCAAAGTTAAACTGTGTTATTAAGTTAAGCCACATGAAAATGCCACTTTTGTAATGAAAATTGTTTATTTTTGGCAATGTCTTATAGTTTATTCCAACAAATCAGACTCACATGTTCATATACTATTTCAAATGATTAGACAGGAAAAATATGATAAACTACTTAATTCCTTCATGATCAAACTGATACAGGCCTAGCATTATTGTTTTAGAAACACATGATACCTTCCCTGTGCTATTTAGCATAGACAATCCGTTCCAAAATAGCTACCTTGAATTCTATATTGCCTATACTGTTAAATCTTGATTTTTAGGATTTCTGCAAAGTTTCCACTATTTATTTGATGATATTTAAGCCTCCAAGTGACTAGTTAGGCTAAATGAATTGAAATCAAGTTAAGTGACAAATGAAGATACTTCTACACCAAACTCAAATTAATGCCTTTGAGTTTTATAATCCATAGCGATTGATTTCCTGGGAAATTTTCAAATTTCCATCTCATCTGATTCATATAGGTACACTGTCAATTAGATGTGGATCAAAGCTTTTGCTTGTCATTCTAAAGGAATAAATATGGTTGAAAAGCAAAGCATAGCAATGGAATTCATGTTGGTACAGCGCTTGCTATGCAGGCGCTATGCTAGGCACTATTAAGGAGCTTAATCCCAGTGAATCTTCACAGCAGCTCTGCACGTGTGGAATTATTACCTCCTTAGAGACACAGAACCATTCAGAGAAGAGCAAATTTCCTGAGATCACACACCTATCAAGGGGTGGAGCCAGGATTGGAGCCTAAAAGCTGCCTGCCTTTTCATAGTTTGTTTTTCTCCATTGCACCCTGTCATTTGAGTGTGTGCAACCTTATTGTCCACTTTCATAAGTTCAAATTAAACTTCAGTCATAATAAAGCAAGCCAACAAAATAAAAAAGACAAAACTCATTTATTCTTAAATATCTTAAGTCTTCAGTTGTGGAGGAGTCTGGTGTGCTTGGGACTGGCTCCAGCTTCCCAGCAGACTGTCTGTGTAATCTTTGCCTATCAAAAGCACCTGTTTCAAGTAGCATAGATCTTTGTAAAGGAAGTGTGAATTCACTGACCTTGCTGATCTGCACCACAGTGCTGAGAGGTGGTCCTCTTCCTGGACCCTACCGGCTTCGCCAGTTTCATCTTCACTGGGGCTCCTCCGATGACCACGGCTCAGAGCACACGGTGGATGGGGTGAAGTATGCAGCAGAGGTAGGAGGAACTGTTGTCATTTCCTCAGTGAAAACTGAAACAATAAAAGTAACAGCCTCAGCAACAAAGCATCCTGTAAGCAATGTAGTTGTGCAAAGAATTGTAGCAGCTTTAGCATAAACTGGAGTTGTCAAACTTTCTAGGTTAGACAGTAAAGGGCAGTTTGGTGGGATGACAACATGGCTGGAGACTTCCAAGGTTATATAACAAATTGGACAGTTGCTTAATAAAAAGGGCCATGGTCCTGAGTGGAACCAGGATAGTAAGGAGCACAGTTTTGCTTACAGGTGTTTCAGTGCTACATGGGTTATCTCATCCAATACCCTCAGCTACCTGATGTAATAGGCTGCAGATGAGGCAACTGAGTCACAGAAAGTTACATGCAAAGGCACAGAGCTGATAAGTACTCAACCTGGTATTGTTTTTTGTATCAGTTGGCTCCAGCATGCTTTATCTTAATCACATTCCATATTGCCTCTTTTATAAGAATGTACTGTATTTAAAAGAGCATTTAGTGATTATGGTCAATGTTCTCATGCCATTGTTAAGAGAACACACATATAGATTGAAACCAATACACATAATTTTACATAAACAGATACTATTCACTGTCTCAGTTAATCCATGAAAGAAAAGCATAATCTATAGTTCAAATCAAAGGATCCAGTTACAAAGGGGATGAGGCAAGCCTTCCAGACCTCTTTAGAAAGTCAAGCTACTTCACTCTTTTTCAAGTCCAGGTTAGGTCAACAATACTAAAGCAGGGACTAGCGTCACACAGAAACACTGTCCTGTGTGAAATCAAGGCCAGCATGATTGCTGGTTAAATCAAACCCTAGAATACCCGAAGGACTTCACTGTGGTCATTCCATTGGTCTGCAGCCAATCCAGAGAGCTGGTGGCAAGATAAATTGAGAGGGCCTTCTTGGCGTACATCTTCTTCCACAAATGGAAAAAAAAATTCAGATATTTCTTATAGACAGAGGAAAGGCTTTGACTCTGAACATTGTACATGAAATGATTTCACTTTTGATCTTAAATATTTCTAACTGCCACAAACCATTCTCTGTAACTCAATATGGGAAACCTGACTGACTTTAATGGTGCTCATGTGCTAAATTAAGGTAGGGTTGCTGCCAGGTTCTAGAGCCTGGCTAAAAAGAGATAGATAGTTTTATATACTTTTTATTTGAATTGTTAAACATTCCACCAAAGCTCTGCAAGATAATATTTAGAGTTTTGGCATTTTGGGTGGTAGCATTAAGCACCAACCTTTAGCACATTTTTTGCACCTATTGTGAGTAATTTTATGCTCAGCTTAAGCTAGGGCTTTGCCTCTTGACCTGTATTTTACGGTTTCAGCTTCATTTGGTACACTGGAATCCAAAGTATAACACATTTGGGGAAGCTCTGAAGCAGCCTGATGGAATTGCCGTGGTTGGCATTTTTCTGAAGGTAAAGTTAAAACTGACCTCCCCCCAAAAAAACAACTGTTGCTTCTAATGTTGAGGCTCGCATGAGTCTTTGTTCGCTCTTGCCTGAGTTGTATGTACCTGTTCTCCTTCTTCTATGCACATTACTATCCATTCAATAGATCAAGGCTTTTTTGCTAACATCAGTTCAAAATATTTTGCTCTCATCTAAAAGAGCTTTATTTTGCCCTGTTCTAGAGCCCCTGGCACATCTAAATCTTCTCTTGTGATATGTGTGCAGAGAAGGAGTTGGGGACAGAGAATTCAAGGGAGTTTGTCACCGTGACGATGAGGGGAGGGTGGCATGTGCTCATTAAGCTTTCCCACTACTCCACTGCAATTGCACTAGAAACCAGAAAAGCTGGTGTTGGGAACCTCTGGGCTGACAAGCGCCTGGCTGGACATCCCCTGCGCTTAAGGAGGCCACCACCCACATGATCCCAGGCGTGGAATGTGTCTGTTGTTCAGCCAGCCCTGGTTTAAAGAAGACTTAGTGTCATTAACACATGCATTTGGTGGTAACATAATCTAGATTTTAAGCCAGAGGTGAAAATCTGGCTTCTTTCTTTTTGAATGACCTAACTCATCTTATGTTCTGAATTCAGTGGATCATTTCCAGTTGCATCAAAACCACACAGCAGAAAGGGAAGTGCGTTTGGGGGCAAGACAATGAATTTAGTTTGAGATAGATAGAATCCACTCGGGCTCTATTTAAGAAATAGAGTGACTTTGCCGAGGTCAAGGATGTTGAACTAGATCAGCATGTAATTTTGTGGTTTTGTACTTCAAAGGCCTGGAGTCCAAGTTTAGATCAGAAAATACATACTCTGAAATCTTGGGGAAAAATAAAATCATACTTTTGCTTAGTAAAAGATATTCTGGCAGACTTATGAACACTAGTTGCATGCAGTCATATGAATCAAATCAGTTTTTAAGATGATTTTAAATTACGGAGAAAGGAAAAATACTATGTTGTATTTTTATTTTTCTTGCAGATAGGACGGGAGAAAGGCGAGTTCCAGCTTCTCCTTGATGCATTGGACAAAGTTAAGACAAAGGTAAAAAAAAAAAAAAAAGTAATTTTTGTCCTTAAAACATCAAACAGAAAAAAACCTTAATTTTCTTTTCTGCATTGTCAGACACTGTATATTTTTTACCTAAATTGTTACTAAGTTTGATAGATATGCTAAACATATATAGTATTTATTTTTATAAATATAAATGACACTATATTTTTATTTTTTATGGCTTTGAAGCAGTTTCACATAGATTGGTTTATTTTATTGCCTCCTGCCAGAGAGACTTCCTCAAGGCGGTGGGTGAGAGTCGGAGAAGCTGAATCTCTGGACTCAAGCCTGGAGGAGTCCGTTCTTCCTCTCCTTTCCCCACCAACCTACGAGACACAGATACACACTCATGGAGGGTCTAAATGTCAGACAAAACTGTCATGTTAAGTCCAGGTAGACCCTTTCCAGCCATACCTTTTATCTGTTTCAAATCTTAAGAGTTTACTCTTTCAATTACTAGACACATTTTTGTTGTCTTTCAGGCTGTCCTATATAATTGCTATTAACTCTGACCTTTAGAAAAAGTAGTTATTCTAATACAACATTGATGAAAAAAATGCAAGTGATTTTCAGAATCATTATCAAGAACCGAAGTCTTAACTTATATTAAAGTACTCTTGTTACATTTTAGATACAGTATGAATCTTCCCTCATGAAAAATGGTAGAATTACAGTCCAGCTCATAGATTAGATAATAAGCGCAGCAATAATTGTGCCAGATAAAGTTATAGTATGGAGTCAGCTTCGGGCTTAACCTTTGTTTCTAGAAGGCCTGGACCGTATTAGAAAGCTCTGTTGACTCTATTGCCTTTGAAATCTGACCGCACAAGTGAAGTGGCGAGTCCCTGGGGGTGCAGGGCGGCCTTGCTCCACTGATGGCGCTGTCTTCCAGGGCAAGGAGGCGCCTTTCACACACTTCGACCCGTCCTGCCTGTTCCCCGCCTGCCGGGACTACTGGACCTACCGCGGCTCCTTCACCACGCCCCCGTGCGAGGAGTGCATCGTGTGGCTGCTGCTCAAAGAGCCCATGACCGTGAGCTCCGACCAGGTGAGCAGCAGTCCCCTGAGCACACAGGGTTACATCGCAGGCTGGCCAGGAAAGACGAAAACCTGAAGATCCACAGCTGTTAACTGGATGCCTGTCAACAGCTCCTCCTGCAGAGTGCAGAATCGGCCCTGGTTAACTGAAATCAGCCTGTTCCTTTTCTAAATTCCAGCTTTCTGAGGGTTCCAGGCTAAATGCAAACTGTTGAAAAGTGGTCATGATAGTCAACCACGACTGAGTGTAAGCGACACTTAAGCGTTTAGCTTAGTAGGGCTGAGTCTGTGTTCTTTGGACACCCCTGAAATAGTGTGTGCTGGTTAGGAGGTGAGGTGCAAATCCAGACCTGGGAAAGAGGCGGAAATGGGAAGGATTTAACATCCTTGGGAAGATTATTTTACCTTTCCAGTTTTAAAGATAAACAAGGTGAATCTTAGAAAGTAAAAGTAACTTGCCCAACACACACATGGCACCAAGGGCAAAGTCCTAACCCCACGCTGTTTTCCATAGTTTATGGTCTCCCTTTCTCTGGCTCATTTAAAGACTGTCTTAGCAACACAGTGTTTAAGAAAAAGCTTTTTGGGATAAAATAAGTAATCAGGGACATGAAAAAGACCGTATTTAAGCAAGTAAACAACACAAGTTACGTACCCTACAACGTGAATGTCTCGTAGTAAAATCATTCGCCACTCCATCTCCCTTGCCGAAGACAGAGGCTTCCCTATTTCTGACAGTCTACACTCAAGAATATAAATTGGCAGTTTTATCAAAGAATCAGATCTAATGTTCTTAATCATTAGTATAAATATTTTGAAAAACAAATGAGATTTTATTAAGGAGAAAAACTAAAAACAGTTATTGCAATGGAATATTCTTACATGAATTTCTCATCTTTGAAGGGGAAAACAATCAGTTTAAAATTTAAAATGTAGCCTAGCGTATGTCTTTCTCCTCAGGTCTATTATCTTCTCAACTCAAAGTATGTGCTTCATACCCAGCCACCCAAATTAAAATAATTGTTTCAAAATTAAGGGAGAAAAGAGTTTGACCAGAGGGCATAGTGATCCATGAAATGGGAAGACAGGGAGCTTTTATATATAATAAGTGTAAGCTACACTTAAAAGTGTAGATGAACAGGGCCAAGTTGTTGTTCCTTTGGACAGGCCTGAAATAGAGTGTACTGGATGGGCGGGAGGTAGAAAATCCAGACCTGGGAAAGAGGAGGGAATTGAAAGGATTTCACATCCTTGTGAAGAGTATTTTACTGAGGCGAATCTTAGGAAAAAGATATATATATATATATATATATATATTCTTCAAGAAATGCTAAGCATCTCGGGCTGGACACTGGAGACCAGGCTAGCCCCGCGGTTTCCTCATCCTGCTCAGAAAACCCATGATCCCAACTCTTGGTTGCACGGTGAGTTCAGCAGCTCCAGCACGTTGCTAACCACCGTCCTGTCCCCTGCAGATGGCCAAACTGCGCAGCATCTTCGCCAGCGCCGAGAACGAGCCCCCGGTGCCCCTGGTGGGGAACTGGCGCCCTCCGCAGCCTCTCAAGGGCAGGGTGGTGAGAGCCTCTTTCAAATGAGGCCTCAGGATCTTGCCCTGTTCAGGAAGGGAGGAACCTGCCCTCCCTCCGTCCGAGAGCGGCTCCTTCCCCCTCTGGTGCTCCTTACTCCACGTCTATGCGACTTTCCATACCCAACGAAGAATTCGAGAGATACAGTCGCTGAGAAACCAGTTTTCTTTGACAAGATGTAATACAAAACTGGAAGTTCACTCCTGACCTTTGTAGTAGTTACCTTTTCTATAAAAGTAGTGTTCCTAGCAAGCTTTCAGAGAAGAAGGAGGAGCAGAGACTGAAGAGTGAAGATGCAGGAAAGTGGTCATTGACCATTTCTCAGTCATCTTAAATTCACAGAACTCCAGGCTTTCTATGTGATATTATGAATTGTCCACATTACCAAACAAAAAATTGTATCTGTAGCAGTAGCGGTGATGTTTCCATAAATAGGCAAGAAATTAAAATGATTGCGGACACTGAGAATCTAAATGATAATGTGTTTTACTTCTTAACACCAGGAGGCCCACTATTTACTAAAATTAGCTCTGACTGTAGTTACCTGGTTTTGGTTACTGATGAAAGGAAAATATTGTAAGACCAAGACTTTGGAAATGTTTGATCCAGTATGTGAATTTCTTCTTCATAAAAATGGTTTTCTTTACCTGAAGCAGGGCCATTTATTTTTTATTTTCACTACTTTTATCTTTGCATGCCTATTAAAATAAAAACTGTCTCTGATGTCTTTTGAACTTGAGGCTGGAATTAATGGTTCCTAGAATACTAGGAAATGTTTGGTGGCACTGAAGTAAATGCTGTATGAATAGATTGTCAAATAAAGACATGGATGCTGAAAGTTGGGCTTTGTGTTTTTCAATGAAAAAGCATGAGCCACAAAAATGGGTCAGAACTATGAATACCAACTTTGTAGGTTTATTTTTTATAAATGAAGGGTAGGGATCAAGATTCCAGTTCTGCATCTGTATGCTGTATTCCTCGAGGCAAGTAGTGAGGCCATGGGATAAACTGCAGACAAGAGGAATGCATGCCTATGTATCTGAGAGTGCAAAATAGCCCCCAGGCGTCTCACAACTGGTCAGGATTCTGGAGTTCCGAACAGCGCAGCAGGTGTGGAACCAAGTGAGACTGCAGGTTTTATGTCAGTTTTCAAAACAGTGCTGTAGGATGGCAGTGGCCTAACAGCACAAAGGCCTAGATATTTGGACTTTAAAACATTTAATAGCTTCAGACAGAAAGTCTAATTTTTGCAGTTAGTGGCTTTGATCATCTTTCAGTGCTTCAATGGTTACTATGTTGACTACTTTAGAAACATTCATTAATGCCAGGAGTGAAAATGGGATGGGGTCAGAGAACCCCGAGACAGACACTGGAAGTCAAGTCATGTGGTGGACTCCTATGAGGCTGAAGTTATTTAATAAATTGCCACTTGGGTGTAGGAAAACCAGGTTGGTCAGTGTGAAGTGGCTGTGTTAATTAAATCCCTTGGAATTAAGAGGCGTGGAGCTTTGATCATTAGTGGTAATGCGCGAGCTGATTCTCTGAGTACACAGCAATGCTTAGTGCACTGCAAAAAGTGCGCACAGTACTCACTGTCTGCGAGGCCAGAACAAATGGCCTTATGTCTGTGATAAGTGTTTCTTACCAGGGGACGCAGGCAGGGCAGGCTGGAGCTGTTCTGAGCGAAAGTTCCTCTACTGTAAACTCCATGAAGGCAAGAACCTGAGTTGTGCACGCTGACACGCATCCTACTCCCTAACACTGTGTCTGCCACACAATAAGGACTCAGTAAGTATTTGCTGATGTCATAAACCAAGGGGAAATACAGGACCAATGACCATCTTCTCCAACCACAAGTCACTCTACCTCTCTAACACTAGTTTTTGCTCACCTTAGTGAGTTTTGATCTCCCAAGTAATGATCTTATTAGCTTTCCATGGGAGGTTTTTTTTTTTTTTCCCAGCAGAACCTATTTTTTTTTTTTGCTCCAGTCTGCCTGTGTTTATAACTATCATCCAACTTAAGACTTCCTCCCAACTTCTCCCAGCCCTCAGAATGCTGCGCCATGAGGGATGCCCACTGGAGTGCTGAAGGCATGCTTACATCCGTATTTCTCTATTTCCAGAGGAAGTTATTTTCCTGGTGAGGCATGGGCACCCAAGCAGTGACACTTCAGGCTTCACAGCCTACAAAAGGCCACAACCAGGAGCTGCTGTGGTGAATGTGTCCCAGCATTTGCTGGTGATTGCTCCTCCGGGTAAACACTTTGATCATTGCTAGTACCTTAACATCCAAAGCAGGGCGGCAACAAATTTGAATGCAATGTTTCATAATATTCTGATGATCAGATGATCGTATACCTGAAAGCCTACAAATGGGACATGATTTTATTGATTATAAGGTACAACCTCATCTTCAGGGCAGAAAATTTCCACTTTATGTGGAAATAGGGATATATTTATGAAAAGGCAAATAATGACTCAGGACCTTTGATTAAAAAAATCTTAAATGTATAATCAGTGAAATTTTATGCATATGAGCAAGAAGTAGTTTACATAAAACATGCAAAAACTAAGCTTTTAATGCCTGTAACCATTTATATAATTAAGTATAGTTGAGATTGATCAACTATAAACAAGTTTGGATACATGTGAAAAATTAGTGTCAATTATCCTAATAAGAGTTGGCACAAATAAAATTGGTCTAAAATAAATACATGAGATACAAAAATGCTAAATACCACAGGTATTAAAGTTGAGATACTACAGAGCGCACCAAAAATATATATATACACACTTCTGCAGTTTGTGGTACTAGGCCTGGTGGCCAGCAGCCGACACTTTGAACACCTCTGGTGACTGTACAGGCCAAAGGTAACTTGTATTAATCTCATGGTAGCTCAATAAATTTATTACTAAGTATTTATACTAGTTTTTTTTTTTCCTGGTGATTTTTTTTCTGAAGACTATTTTCCCTTCTAATGCTTTCTTAATTATTATGAAAGAGGAACTGTGGACATGAGCATGGTATTTGGCATAGGAAGAATAAGCGAGGAAAGGCAAGAAGAACGAGGACTGGCAAGATGACCGGGTGTCAGACTTCAAAATGCTAATGTATGCAAATTTAATTTTGCACAAACTACTCCTAAGGTAGCACAGTAGGTACTAAATCCCAAATGAAGTCACAAGCATATTTGCATGTTACTTTTCACTTCGGTCACTAGATGGCAGCAAGACATTTTAAAATTTCAAATGGGTCACTAGGTGGCAGCAAAATAGTTACAAAATGCAATTTAAAAATCATGTTGTTTATTGATGGTAATTTCAGATGAAGGCATTTTTTAAAAAAGCAAACTTTTTGAGCTGACATCCGATTTTCTCTTCTCAAATGTTTTATGATTAGCCGTTAAAATATATCTACAAAAGAAAAGATAGGAAATCCTTACACGTTTTTGAGGATTTTAATAACCAAAAATGAGGCCCGAGGGACAAAAGGATAAAAGGCCTTAAAGGAAAACTTAAATACATGAGAGGTGAAATCTTTCAGCATCCAGAAGTGCTGGGTTGGGGCCACGCAGCATTCAGTGGGCGAAGCCTCAGGCACATTCATTTTTAGGAGCATGTCTCCTCATCTGGAAACAGGAATCGTACTAGTGCCTGCTTAGAGGGTTATTTTGAGAATTAGGTGAGTTAATGCTTATAAACCATTTGGAAATGATCATTTATACTGATCATTCTGACATGTACATCTCCATAGGAATTAACTTTTGTCTTTTGTAAATTAATTTTACTTAAATCTATAAAAAAAATATAATGCCTTATTTCCATACCTAAAATTTTTTCTTTACATGCTTACATGTAACCTCATGGATTTATACCTTATCTGTTCAGATTGCTTTAAACAAGCTACTGTAATGAGCTCAGTTCTACTTGTTATTGGGGGAACAGCAGTATTTTCAAACAATGGTGACAAATCTTGTATACATGTAGCAAGAAAATTAAGATGAGGTCCTATGGAGCCTGGGTAATGCTAGAAGAGCGGATTTGGAAGATCAGAGATGTTTTTCTGATGAAGTTTCTACTCCAGTATCTCTGCATCCTACCTGAGGAAGTGTCCAATTAGCAAAACATCTAGAAAATAAACCTAGAAGAGGTGGGAGAACCATAGCAGTCATTTTGTTCAGTGCAGACTTCAAATGTAGATGGAACAGAGTCCCGTGGAGGGTTGCATGTAGTGGAAGGTCCATCTCAATATGTAAATAGGACAAGTCTCTTGCTGTTAAATTAATTTGGAGCATGCCTGGGCATGTCATACATCAGAATGCTGAACAAGAAGCACAAGTCACAGCAGGGAGAAGGGTCTGTCCCTTGGGCTGCTTCAATTCCAATAGAACCAAAGAAATAAGACAGCTGAGATGTAAAATCTATGATTAAGGGATAAAGCAGTAAGGAGCTGTGATTAAAGTGAAGGTGCCCAGTAGAGGCAGCCACCTGACAACTTGACCAGGTAGATAATCACAGGTAATCAGCAGGAGTAAGAGCGAGTCTCTCACTGCAGTCACAGGGGACCAGGTGCACGGCAGCGGCATAAAACCCAGTGATTTGAAAGCTAATTTTAGCCAGGTGAGAATTGACTCTGCAGTAAACAGGGAATCAGATTCTCCCTTGTATTTGAATCATTCCCAGATAGCGGAGCCTGAAACCTCAGGGAAACTATTTCGACCATTGTCCCTGTTCCAACTTGCCCATAAATTTCTATCATACTCACGCAACTCATTTGAAACAAGGATGGTTCCAAACACATTTGTTCCAGAGAAGGCATTCCCTAAAGGGCACTGACTCCCATGAAAGTATACGAAGGAAAGTGCTTGAAAATATGAGGCTCATACAATTCTCTGTTCCACTGTGTACTGATAAGTTTAAAGGAAGACCTAATGCCAGGAGAGGTAGCTGGATATTATCAAGATTCTGAGTGGGGGCCTGCCAAGGGCAGAGGATGTGCCAGCCACACAGAGCAGGGCCCAACTAAAAGGTGACAACTGGGTGACTGTATGAACTTGGGTTCTTGCTCTGGATACTACTTTAGGAATTAAGGCAGCAATTTAAAATTTTATAGGTAATGAAAATCGTGTGTGTGTGTGTGTGTGTGTGTGTGTGTGTATGTGTGTTGGGGGAGGGTCTAAGAACATAAAATTTGCAGTCCATAAAATTTGGTTTTCATTCCCACTTGTGCTCCTCATCTCTAAGCATATAAGGTTAATTTTAAAGTCTTTGAATATTTATTTGTATACTGAAAAGTAAAGCAGGCTACATAAAAAGTATGATGTGTGAAACATGAAAATCTTATTTAAAACTAGTGCTCTGAGAATTTTGTTCATTTCTGTGTGGTTTAAGGATGGTGTGTGTGTGTGTGTGTGTGTGTGTGTGTGTGTGTAAGAGAGATGGAGAGGTAAGAATTGTAGGAGCAGTACAGTTTCATTTTTAATGTATTTAGTACAGGGTCTACAGGGTCTACAGGGTCTCACTATGCAGATCAGACTCATAGTGCTCCGCCTGTTTCCAGCCTCCCAAACACTGGGATTACAGGTGTGCACCACCACGCCCAGTCTCAGTTGCCCTCTCAGCGTGCCCCGGGGGTGGAGCCAGCATGGATGAAACCTCATCCCTGAGTCTGCTTAAGCAGGCATTTTAATCTATTGAGCTATCTGGTGGGCTTGTTTTTATTTTTTATTAGTACATGTCTGCAGTAGATTACTCCATTCCTTGTGGGCAACTGATACATGCATATAACACATTTAATTCATCCTCATCCCCTACCCTTCTCCCCCTTCATCTCTGG